TTCAAGTTAGGTCACGAGGACAAGTGAGAATCAGAGGGTAAAACTGAATGAGTGCTTCGTCCCATTCGATGACTCTTTTAGGGATCGATCACACAACAACTTCAGGTTACAAGGCAAGCCCACTGTCTATTCCTCGTGTCATATTTCTTGACCTGAAGGTGATATTCAACTCCGTCGACCGAGAGACACTGACAATTTCTGATCGTAAAGGGAACATCGGGAAAAGACATCTCACTAATCAAGGTACTCTACTCGAACTCATGAAACCGTGCAAGAGTTTACGGAGATTTATCATCTGAAGTGATGACAACCAGCGGTGTCCGTCAGGGATTCCCCATTTCTGTTTAATTTCGAAATTGTGTAGCGATGGGTGCGTACTACTACCGGAGAGTCCCACACTAGGACGACACAACTATCCATTATTACCTGGTTTTCAGTAGCTCTGTAAATGATTTCAGTTCATGATCCAACTTGAAATCAATCAAATCTCCTGACTTGAACCAACATTTGAATAAGTAATTTATTTGTTTATTAATCATAAGATTTCGAGAAAAAACAAACAAATCTATTCGTGTGATTTATCCTTGATTTAATAAGAAATTAATGCACTTTTATAGTCATGACTTGTCATATTATTATTTTTATTACTGCTTATATTAATTGAAGTATTATCGTGCCCTTCTCTTCCCCCCCTCCTTGCCTTTCGGTGTGTGCATAATATTGTGTAATGTGTAATTCTAATATTTCTTTGTTTCTTTCTTCCTCGTGTTATGTCTGTGATTCAAGCGTGCATTGTTATAGTCAGTCTGTCAATTAGTTAGTTGGTTAGTTATTTAATTGGTTAGTTGTCACGTGGTAGAAAAAAATCAATGTGAATTCATTAATCTTCTAACTTGTTTATTCTGTTTCTTTCTCTCATGAATAATAAAAAAAGAAATTGTAATCTCTTATAATATAATTGATAGAAGTGGTGATATATTATTAACTATAGCCTTTGCTTAGTATTCTATACTGTACATAACTCAGTAATCATTTATTTCTGGAATTATGTCACATTTAGTTGACTGTGTCGATACCAATGAAATGGACTGGTTTGTGTTTTAGAAAGCTTTTGACCTACTTTGTTGTTTGGTAGATGGTGACTAGGAGTGGAGTTCTCTGTATTTGGGACTGATTCGTCAGTTGAATGTACCTGAAATCCCCACTGAGTGAGTGATAGTGTTCCAAATGAGACTCGAACCCAGCCACCACCCAAAGCGTTATCCATTTAGGTCACTTGAGGCACCTCTTGTGCAATACGGGTATCAGGAAATTAATCAACACAGACACCGAATATTTCGGTCCAGTCTAATAAATCAATGGAAAACAATTTGTAACCCCTATTTATAAGTTTAGATGTCCGGTCATTCTATCGGCTTTTGCGTTGTTCTCTGGGACTAGTTAGCGAAAGTAAAGACGTAGTCAGTCCAAAATGTGGTGCCATAGAATTGGAGATGGTTGTCTTAGCAACTGTTAGTATGTCATGCATGATATCCTGATCGGGGTCCAGGAGATTATGCGACTCAGTAACTCGAAACTCCATCTCCTATAATCGGACTAGTGGACATAGAGGTCCACCTAGGGGAGCTGGAAAACCGTAATTCCAAGCATATGAGCTCCAGAATTCGAAAGAATTGAATGGCATATGGAACCTGTTACGGTCACTGACAACCGTGGGAACGCAGTTGCTGACACCGGTTCATCAGCTTGTGGATGATAATTTAACTCAAAGACTCGAGGAGTGGTCCCTTAATGCAACTACCTGCTTCTATTACTTGGCGTCCAGGAAGTATCTTAGCTCTCGCACGTATCATGAAACAATCAGTGAGAGACTATACTGGTGTACACACTATGATAGATTACTGCTTCAATCAGATTTTTAGCGATTTACTCCTTTTTGATTTAATTTTTTATACAAGCTGCTACCTTGAAGTGGTGGTCGGGCTTGAACACCGCAATGACCCAACAAGCTATACTGGCTGGAACTTATGTTCCTGCAGGTCTTACCATGCCAGAAAGGTTGTTTGGATAGTGGTTAGACTAAAAGCAGTTACCCAATCCAATCCTATGACTCCAATTAAATCACAAAATATCACGCCGGATCGGTCGGGGCCCGGATTAACAACGACCGCGCTTCCTGCTGCCGTGTCACAGGGCAGAAGTGATAAGTGTGCTACTGAGACACACCAAACGAAAAACAACAAACAAAAACAAGCCGCGTGTGACTGGCCTCAAGCAGTTGTTCCCTGGGCTCTGCGGTCACGCAACCAACTTCCACGGTGTGGGCAGCCGGGAAGTTACAATCGCCCTCATAATCCGAAGTGCACGCGAAACATGAACCGTTTTGTTTTATTTTTTACCGTGCTTATTTTCGGTGTCTTCACCTTCGTCAGCCTTTCGCCATTGTTTGAAATCTCAGTCTGTCCGTACCGTTTTCAGTATTTTCCGGAATCTTGACCGTCAGTGTCATATATATAACACGACTGTCTTGAAACCACTTGCTCGGAGATTTTCGTTCTCTTGCTAAAAGTGGAATATTCTTGATAAGTATGCTTACTCGTTTTCATTATATTATCTGTTTATTTCTCAAGTTGTTCTTTTTATAATTGAATTGAAATTACAGTGTCTAAATCTTTTTTGACAGGTATGCATATGTAGTAGCTTTTTTAAATAGGATTTATGAATTGTGTTTGAAATAAGAAACTAAATCATTTTAAAAACTGGCATAACCATGCAATTACTTAGTTTATGTATTTTAAAAGTGATAAAGTTTCCTCTCGTATGAATATTTTCCTCATTCGTTGCATTCCGACTGAAACATAGGGCTTCAAGCTGTTATGTTTCAGTAGCAGTGGTGTTCCTTTTACGGTCTGAGGTTCCTACCGGCACACCTCAACCTTCCTTCCTTCCTTTTACAGGTTTACCACCAGCGGCTAAGTGAGGAATCGAATTCAGACCTCCCGGACTTCATATTGTCTGTGTGTTTGTGATTTCTTATTGTGGCCGTATTATTCTATTATGCTAATATATACTTCTAAGAATATCATCAATCTTTTGTAATCATGTTTACTACTTATCACCCATATCTTATCGATCGTAGACACACTCTTGAACTTGATAATTATTTTCAGTGTAGATTTTTGCTCATGAGCCAACATCAATTCGAGAATCGCTGAAAACCAGAGAGTACTTGGTAGCTGTTTCTTACTGGTGTGGGACTCTTCAGAAATGCGCACCCGATACATCATCAAGGATTGAGCCCAGGAACTTCAAATTACAAGGACCAGCTCTCTGGTCATTCAGCCACTTGGGTTGGAATTCTATGACTAACAAATTCTAACTTTGCTAAGGTGAGATATATGCTCATCGAAGGCATTGGTTTGCAGTAGCGCTATTTCCGGAACCAGATTCTATCCTGTTGGCTGAATGGTCAGTTGACCGGGGTTTGTAACCTGTATGTCATTGGTCCGATCCTTATTGGCGGATCGTGGGTGCGTCCCGAACTAGGATGAAACAGTTGTGCAGTACTCCGTGGTTTCCAGAGATGATTATCTGCTGAATGTTGTTTCTTAATGAAATCTACATTGAAGTTATTCACATCTCTGTAAACTTGTTGATGAATCATACCAACTGTCAATAACTTCATGAGTTAATGTTAAGTTTCGGTGTAATTACTACCAATCCTTTTCATCATGGAAGGTGGTGGTAGCTGAGCATGCGTAATACAAATCTTAGCCAACTTAATTGATAGAATTTATCAACCTCACAGACTTACTTCTACTTACTTAACTTTTTACGCCCAATTTTAATATTATTGATCATGCGGCTTCATCCAATATAACTGTTAAGATCTAAGATATACATATATGTATTTTGGGTTTCCCATTTCCATATTATTGCTTAAAGCAGTGTACCTGAATGCAAAAGACTTTGGATTCAGTAGTCAGTTACATTTATAGTATGATGTATTGTCATAAGTTAGCTGAAATCGGAGTAAACTACAAAAAAAGGAGTTAGATAGAGTGCACTTAACCGATCCGATCAAGTACAGTAAACATTAGATTATGTCACTTTCTCCCTCTCTCTTTCTACTCTAAACACTTTGGTGTAGAAGTAATCTTCGTAACTGATATTTTTATGTAATAGAAATAGGTGCGTTTCAAGGGCGAGCTTGTCGTTGATCACATTACAAATTTGATTGTTAGAAATCATTCAACACCAACACTTCTAAGGACTAGACTCATGATATTGTCGTTTTTGTTTGAACACTTTTCTATGTATTAGGCTATGATTAACACTGATACTGTATGAGACCTACCCAGTCTCCTAGGTAGTTAAATCACGAACTATTGAAAACTACCAGGGAGTCCTTTTTTGTGACTTTTCAACAATGCATACCCTTAGTTCTGCCAGACATTGGACACAGGAGAGCTCGTTGGTCATTCAGCCAGTGGAACGGAATCCAACTAATTCCAACTTCCGTCAGTTGACGAACATATAGGGCGACCGCCAGCCAATGTCCTCTGAGAGTACTTGTCTTCAGTGATGAATCCCACTGGTCACAAATTCCCATTAGAACTTCATGCAGCTCCCTCCTATTGTCAGTCGCTAGTGATTACTAGAATTACTAGAATTGATGGGCCATTGGATTCTCTCCCAGTGGTTCAATGGTCAGTGAGCTCTCTTTCTGACCTGAAGTTCCTGTACTGGGTTCGTACTGTGGAAGAGTTCGGAACTAGAGGGAAATGTCTGTCCAGTGCTCCCTAGTTTTCGATGGTGCTCTAACTGATGTCAGTCAGTTTTTTTATGGTAAAGTTTGAAGTCAATCAAATCCCTTCAGACCAACACTTGAATTTTCAATTTTTTCCCCTTTTTCTCGTTGAATTTATCTCTTATTGACTTTTTTTCGTTTTCCTCTTGTTTTCCTTCATTTCGTAAATCAACATCAATCATTGTTATAGTCAGTCAGTCGTAAATATTTACATCTTATTGTGAATGAAAAACTGGAGAATAGTTTGCTGAAACAAATTCAATTGTCCAATGATTTTATTCATCGTGCACGACTAGATAATGGCAATATATTAGTATGCAGGTAAGTGTAATAAATATGAATTATTTTTATAAAACAAATTTTCGAATATGATACTTCCATCCATTTAATAATGATAATAATTTTAATGGTTGCTGGTTCGGTGGTAGGATGCCTGCCAACAACTATATTGCAAGTGGTCGCCGTTCGACTCCTGGCCGACACTTTCTTAAACCTCGCTCAGTCGGTAGTAAGCTCAGTAAAGAGGGAAAGTTAGGCGTGCGTCTAGTAAACCCACGCTGTGATAAAAAAGAACACTACCGCTACACTGAAACTTCAAAGCTCAATCTTGAAGCCTAATATTCCATTTGGAACGTCAGTGGAAGGAAAAATATTTTTTTTTGATGATCAGACGATCTGGGATAGCCACTGATTAGTAGAGTACTGTTGAAGTAGTGTATTGGTCTCCGAAATATTTGAACTGGTGAAGTTTGGCCTACGAGCTCTTTAAAAGCTTGGGTATGAGACAGTCTGACCATCGGTTAACAATCTGCTCCTCTCCTTCTACCTAATTCAATATAATCAGAGAACTGCTTGGCAGGAGAAGACCGAACTAACTACCCATCTAGCGGCTAGTGTGACAATCTTAAATAGGAAGTAACGTAATCATTCATTCACACACATGATAGCTGAGCATTACCTGTGATGATTTCTGTAGTGTCTGGTACAAGTGTGCCAGACTAATAGTTCTGACTCGGGTGGTCTGATTCCTAATCCATTACACTAGTAATCTGCACTTATTGAAGACGCCATTATATTTATTATTATTCCCTTGGGTTCCTAGTGTAACATGGGGCTTTTCCAGCACATTCCCATTTCACTCTGCTCTCTGCAGTCCTTTCTAGCTGGCTCCATGATTGCTCATTAACTCTTATTTCCTCCTCCTCCTCACACAATCTCTTCCATGTCACCTGTAGAACCAGGCCCAACTCGTCATCATCCTTATAGTTTTCAATGATAAGGGTGTTCTATGCTTTTTACTTCATCTGCACTTCAAAGTCTTATATCGAAATTATGCCAATCATGTATGCAGTAATGTGTTGGTCAACAAGAATGATCAGTTTTCAGGTGTAGTAGAAGTGAAAATAATTAAGAAATGCAAGATTAGTTCACTTTTAAGATATTAGTGAAGATTTATAGCTCAGGTGGATGATTTTGATGTAGTTGTGTTCTCTGAGCTGAGTAGTTTAATTACGAAGCTACACCCATTGTCTTTCTGGGCAACATCTCGAACGCGTCAACTTCAATACGTAGTGAATTCATTTGAATTCATCATGAATTATACAATTCTCTCTACTGAAAACCATTATTGATCGCTTTTATTGCCTCGCATATTTTTTGATAAATTTGATTTATACTAATGTGTCTGTTGGTCGCAGACTTGTCTGAGTACTAGGTTTCTAGGAGTCCCTTGACTGCACTTTTTGTGTTTACACTGTTAAAAATTTCTATATTTTCTCGGTGTAATCGGTATCCAAAGCTGTACACGTGCATTGACATAGAAGAACACGCATCGTGTCTTTTGACTGCTAGTTTATGTTCGTGGACTTGGAGTCGAAGGGGAAACCCATTTGGATCAATACTGGTGTTTATCAAAATTGATGCAATATATTTTGTAGATGGTTTTGATCTAGTCTTCTTTTGCTGTTTGGTGGGTGATTTTGGTCTGCATAGTTATTGAGTAATGTGATTGTGTTGATTTATGCGTGATGCACATTCTTCAGGGTTTTAGTATTCTAGCCGTTACTTCAGAAACCCTATTTATATATAGTAGGATAAATTTTCTTGTGATTCCTTAGAATGGTTTCCTGCTTGTATTTGGATTCAACTTTGGACATTTCTTCATGAAATTGTATCCATTTTTCTTGAATATAGTCACTAGATGTTCCTCTTCCATCCTCCTCAGAACTGGTGTGCTCCGGTGTATGTTTTGACTCCCTTGAATAATGCTTGCTCATAGTTTCTTTTTTGCGCTGTTGGACTATTATTGTTCTTGTGGTCGAGTATTTGGTCTGTGTAGATTGATTATGTGTATACTTGTGTTTGATCACGCTGTTGATACAGGACATCAGATCGACACTGATAGAGCTTTCCAAGTTATTTATCTTCCTGATTCTCCACAAGCTCGGCTTTTGCATACATCACAAACGATATATTTTCTAAAGGAAATTTCTATAGACCCTGTCTTTGGTGTGGCTGTACATATAACATGTACAGAGTCTTAAAAATAATATTTCCCCTACCCTTGTTACTCCTACTTGACAGTGTTGTTTTTATTTTTATTATTTTCTTATACTTACTATTCTACTTAGTTCAATGAACCTATTTGCGTATGTTGGTATTCTCACGTAATTTATTCATATATTCTTCTTGAACATTGTTATTTTATGAGTTATTACCGATTGTGTTGCTAACCTCTACAAATTAACTGCTTTTGAGTTCCGTAATATTTTTCCATCCCTGATAGATATGGCTTGGCTTAGAAATGATGACTGATTGAAATTGACTGACATCACCTCGTGAATATTAAAATTTCGATTTAGAACGATGTATTAGTATGATTGACCGACTGACTAACTGAATTTCAACGGAGAACTTTGTTCAGAAGTGCAGCACTTGAAGTTGCCACACTCCATGTTACTGCACATAGGTAGAGGAAATAAGAAATTCAAAAGAACTGTTATGAGGTGAAATGCACATGGCGATACATGAGGACTTAATTGATCTCAATAGATTACAAAGAGTGAATGAGGAACAATTTTGAACCATATCACCAACAGTCTCAATCCATTGGTTCTTAATATCCCAAGGATCTCAATCAGTCGTCAGTCTACACCTCGCTACATACCTAGCTGAAGTCAGCAGCCGAAAACTTCATGGTTTGATGGCAGGTTTTGATTTGACTATCCTTAACCCTTCTGCAATCTAATCCTTTTTCAGATAACATTACTTATCGACAAAGGTGATGATTTGGCATGCTTTACCCATGACCTAGTCATCTTCTTACTTGGCAGTTTACGTTTAACCTCATTGTTACTGATTGTATTATGCCATCTAACACTAGGAACTGGACGTAGACACTAAGTAAATCGTGAAGTATTCTTAGAGTAAAGCTTATTGCCAAGTGGCGAGGTATACCAGTAACATCTATAATATAACATTCTGAAGGCGTAAACACACAAACACGTTACACTTGACGTATGACATCAGCTTCACTTGATGACAGTATGAATTCTCTGTTAAGATGTTTATTCTTTATTGTTCAACAAGATACGTCAGTGGTTCAATGGTAGGATGCTTGTCAACCACGTGAGAGGTCGAGATCTGACTCCCAACTTGACCATTCTTAAACTACCACTATCTGTTAGTGTAAGCCGGGTAAAAAGAGAATGTGAAGGTACAGTGAGGCTGATAAACTCACCTTGTAAAAACAACAGTACTACTTCTTCTGAAACTTTTAAGGTCAAAGCCTCAGTGTTTTAGTTTAATACTTGGGAATGAAAAACATATTGTGCAACTAGGTAAATACGAAAAAACATGTCTTTTTTAATTGGATAGAAGTCATTAAGTAAGGCAGATTCTCACTCACTGTTGACTGATCTTATTAGACAACTCATGAAGTGAAACACATAGAGAATTGTCGAAGTCTTGCAACTATCTTCAGTTAATATAGGGGAATTTAAATCGAAGCAAAATTTTAGGTCACGAAAGCACTTAAATCAGTTGCTTCCTGTTTATGCAATTGACTGTCCTACTTAGTCTTTTATGATACTTAGTGGTTGACTACCTACTTTTTAACCGCTTTTGCACTCTTCCTGATTAATTTTACAGTTTTCAAATTAAGTTATCCCAACCTATCTATGTATCTATATGTCTGGTTGCCTGCTGTCTACCCACGATTTTATTATATTTCCAATTTGAATTAAGTCAGAGATTAAGAATGATTGACTGATTGATTTTTTCTCACACTGTGTAATTCACTTGCAGTTTGAAAGAATAATCCTAAGAACATCTTTATCCTTTATTATTCTCCCTTCAACTTGGAGAACAATTTATCTTCTAGGTTCATCTCAGGTACCTAATGCATTTGTCTGGGACTTATTGGCTTTGGTGCTTAACGGGTTTGAACCCCACCCACCGTATTTGTCGAGTTTTGGACAGTAAAGTGGTTTCATTAGCCTTTATTGGATAAATGTGGCTCATTGCTAGCTGTTTGTAAATGCAAGTGGTTGTTGAGCACCCTTTCATTTTCATTTCAATGCTTCTCGGTTGTTGGTTTTCTATTGTCTGAATTATATTGGCTCACGACAAAAATTAGGTTAACAACAACGGTAAAAGCATCTGCCAGTCATCTTTTTGTGTCAACTAGTTCCTGTTAAAATGTCTCTTCATGTATTCTTATTTTAGAGATAGACGGTTGACTGTGGTTATACCGATAGTGAATCCTATAGAATGCCTGAAACCTTTACTTTATTCAGAGAGAAGTTCTAAAACCGAAGACAAATAAGACTGTGTAGAACGTCGGAGATGATTATAACCGCGTTTTCCAATTCCTTGTAAATGATTTTTACCCACGTGGCTGACACCTATTGATTCTTAACATTTCACGCACCTCAAACAGGCACTTAACGTCACTCAGATCAACTATCCGCGACTTCATGGTTTGATCACTTTTAAATGTTTTTTCAACTCAATCCTACTTCAGACTTAATCGTTGTTTTAAGAAACGGTGACCAGTGACTTTGACAACTTCACTCTATGTCCATTTGTGCAGTGAGACTTTTAGTCTATAGGCTAATACTATTCTTACATCTGTAGGTCTAAAAACAACTGGTTATATAATCCATTGATATTCGTTGAATGGATTTCTTCAGATTCTCTATAGTAGTCAGGTGAGGTCTTCGATTTTGTGTGCTGTACGTCTATCTGAGGAATATATGATACGATTGTAGTCTGAAATATCAGGGTTTTCGCCTGGTAAAACCCTACTTCCGATTTGATAT